AACATTAGTGTCACTAAAATTGATATACAACCCCCCACTGCTATATTTGACTGGCTAAAAAAACACAGCATAACTCCTCATTGTGGTGAGAGGAGGGAGGTGACAAGGAGAGGAGGATAGTTCAGGTGAGGAAAATTTTCCAACCGATCTATTTGAATACCAGGTCATCCTAAAGCCACACCTGTCTCGTGGGTGGGGCAACACGTGGGGTAGACCATCGAGCCCCTCTATTCCCAGCGTAAAGCCAGGTAGCCAGAGCGTGCAGGGGAAAGAGATAGGCGGGAGAGACCCCTCCTACGACGCAGGATCTGCCTTTAAACGCCCAAAGTTCTGAAGCTTAAGAGGAATCGTGCCCTTCCCACGCCCGCGACCTCCGGTGCCCAAGGCCTCAAGCGGTCACGGTTAGGAGGGCGGAAGCTCCCCTTCCCCGCCCCGCCCCGGGGAGGAGGGTGCTAAGGCCCTCGGGAGGGAGGGGACGCGTGTTTACAAACAAGGGGGCGGGAGCGCCAGGAAAACCAGAGGAGGGTGTGGGGGAGGGGTTGCAGATAACGCGGTTACTGGCTCGCCTGCCCTTCTGCTGGGACACTCACCCCGCCCGCTGTCGCCCATCCCGTCCCGTCCAGCCTCCCCCGGCTCCGGCTCCGGGGTTTGTTGTTCTCCGCCTGCCACCGCCGCCGCCGCCGCCGCTGCGGGATCCAGCCAGGGCCGTCGCCGCCGCCACCGGGACGCGACCCCACAATGCATTTCTTTTCGCACCCCCACCGGCCCACACTGCCCTGCGGCATGCCGCTGAGGGAGGAAGGGCGGGCGAGCGGCCCAAGACATATCCCTGGCTGAGAGTAGGGATACCGAAGAGCTCCCAGGGATTCCCAGGGGTTGATCGGAGGAGTAGCTGAGCACGAGGAAGCCCCTGAGAGAAAGACTCTGGCCTGGATTGGGTAGAATTAAGCCCGTCGCTCTGCTCTGTACCAAAATGACAGCGCCAATGTGGCAGCCATCTTTGTACAGACGGGAAGTCTCGGCGCGAGTTCCCGCCCCCTCGTCTAGTTGGAAACCGAGGAGGCGGTCTCCTCCGGCCTGTTAGCCCGCCTCGCCCACCCTCCCCTCAAATAACCTCCACACTCGCGCATGCGCATCAGTGCAGGATGGATTCGTCGCTACCAGAGTACCGCCATATTGGTAAAGGCACTAGGACGAAGGTGGAACGGAACTTCCTGTTCTCGCGGGAGCTAAAGGCGGGACTGCCACGTCCGAGCAAACCGGGAAAGGAGAGGATCCCGGAGCTGGTGAGAATTCTCTGTTTTTCTCTACCATCCTTTCTAAGCCTTTTCCTTACCTAATGAGTCATAGAGACGAGGGCCCAGAGAGTCTGTAAAGTGGCTGGTGAAAGACTAGTGTCCCAGGGCCCTACATCCGGGAGGGGGTTCGGGATAAAGAGAACTAGTCTTGGGAACAATGTAGGTAGGTGGGAACTTAAGGGAATGGGAGAGCGGCCCATAGAGGTGGACGGAGGGCGCTATTGGAGTAAAGCTGACCCTGTGTAGGTATAGAGTTGAGTCAAGTGGAGTCACTGTCTCTGTCCCTCTGGTCAGCGTGATGGCCAGAGGCCTGGGGGCCCCCCACTGGGTGGCCGTGGGACTGCTGACCTGGGCGGCCTTGGGGCTTCTGGTGGCTGGACTCGCGGGTCATGACGACCTGCACGACGATCTGCAAGAGGACTTCCATGGCCACAGTCACAGGCACTCACATGAAGATTTCCACCATGGACACAGCCATGCCCATGGCCATGGCCACACTCACGAGAGCATCTGGCATGGACATACCCACGGTCACGACCATGGACATTCACATGAGGATTTACACCATGGCCATAGCCATGGCCACTCCCATGAGAGCCTCTTCCACAGAGGACATGGACATGACCATGAGCATAGCCATGGAGGCTATGGGGAGTCTGGGGCTCCAGGCATCAAGCAGGACCTGGATGCTGTCACTCTCTGGGCTTATGTGAGTCTCCAGGGGATGGGAGAGAGAGGGGCTGGTTCTGGATTGTTGGAAAACACCACAGTACTTGACCCTGACTCTCCCTCACCAGGCACTGGGGGCCACAGTGCTGATCTCAGCAGCTCCATTTTTTGTCCTCTTCCTTATCCCCGTGGAGTCAAACTCCCCCCGGCATCGCTCTCTACTTCAGATCTTGCTCAGTTTTGCTTCCGGTGGCCTCCTGGGAGATGCCTTCCTGCACCTCATTCCTCATGCTCTTGGTAAGTAACCTCTGACTTCTACCTCAAATCTAACCTATTTTGTTCTTTGGGGGAAAAGGGTTCTTTCTCCTTTATGATCCCTGACCTTTCGATATTCCCCCAAATACACACCCTTTGTGTCAGATATTCCCTCATCTGGTTTTCCCCCCATCTTCCAGAACCTCATTCTCACCACACTCTGGAGCAACACGGACATGGACACTCCCACAGTGGTGAGGAAGAGACAGATGGGGATGGGAGCTGGGGTGCTGGGGAAGGTCTGTCTCTCCCTATTCCTCACCTCCTGCACTTGAGGAGGAGGAGTCTGTAATGCACATCTCCTTTAATGTCTCAATGCCTCCATTCCCAGGCCAGGGCCCCATTCTGTCTGTGGGACTGTGGGTTCTCAGTGGAATTGTTGCCTTTCTTGTTGTGGAGAAATTTGTGAGACATGTGAAAGGAGGACATGGTCACAGTCATGGACATGGACACGCTCACAGTCACACACATGGAAGTCATGGACATGGAAGACAAGGTGAGCCCAGGAACAACTTTCCCGAAAGCTGACTTGCCTGCCTCAGAATCTCCTCATCTTACGGCCCTCAGGAGGGAGAGGACATGTTGGAAGATCTGTTCTCCACGCTGACTAACTCTTTTCTTCCCTCAGAGCGTTCTAACAAGGAGAAGCAGAGCTCAGAAGAAGAAGAAAAGGAAACAGGGGGGGTTCAGAAGAGGCGAGGAGGGAGCACGGTACCCAAAGATGGGCCAGTGAGACCTCAGAATGCTGAAGAAGAAAAAAGAGGCTTAGGTAAGGGCCAGAGTTGGTCATAAATTTGGGCAAGGGACATCATCACAAATCACATGGAATATGTGCTGTGGGTAATGGCAGGTGTCTCGGAAACACTAAAAGACTGGGTGTGAAGTGGTCTCTGAGGGGAGGTGTGAGAATAACTGACCAAGATTGAACAAGTGGTGATGGAGGCCTCTGATCATTTTCTCTTCTCGTCCTGTACAAGATCTGCGTGTGTCAGGGTACCTGAATCTGGCTGCTGACTTGGCACACAACTTCACTGATGGTCTGGCCATTGGGGCTTCCTTTCGAGGGGGTCGGGGGCTAGGGATCCTGACCACAATGACTGTCCTGCTACATGAAGTGCCCCATGAGGTCGGAGACTTTGCCATCTTGGTCCAGTCTGGCTGCAGCAAAAAGCAGGTTGGTGATGTCTGCCAAACACAGCTACCTCAAACCCTTTATTTCTCCTCACTCACCCTAAACCCAAACAGCCTCTTGTTAGTTCCAAACAATTCATACTGTCATTGACAAGTCCTCTAGAAATGAGGGGAAAGAAGTTCTGGTTACTTTGTCCTTTAGCTCAGTATTTCTTAAACTGTGGTCTATAAACCATCTGAATGGTTTAGTGGAGTCTTACACACACACGCCTACTCAATCAGAAAGTCTGGAAAGGACCTCTGATCGCTAAGATTTTTCAGAAATTGTCTATTCTAGACTGCCCCCTCCTCTCTTTTTACTTTGATGTTTAGTTTCCAAATCCATGTCCCCTATACCTATACCCCACCAGCCACTTCTAAACCACTGATAATATTTAGCTATTGGTGAGTGCGTTTTTCTCTTTTCTGCCCATCAGGCAATGCGTCTGCAACTACTGACAGCAGTAGGGGCACTGGCAGGCACAGCCTGTGCCCTTCTCACTGAAGGAGGAGCAGTGGGCAGTGAAGTTGCAGGTGGTGCAGGTCCTGGCTGGGTCCTGCCATTTACTGCAGGTGGCTTTATCTACGTAGCAACAGTGTCTGTGTTGCCCGAGCTGCTGAGGGAGGCATCACCATTGCAGTCACTTCTGGAGGTGCTGGGGCTGCTGGGGGGAGTTGTCATGATGGTGCTGATTGCCCATCTCGAGTGAGGCGTGGGATAAACTACTCCTGCCCCAAACTTCTACCCCTAACTCCAGGTCAGTGGTGTGTAGAGGTTGGGGGCCCTGGCCAGGGACATCTGCCAAAGGAAGGAACTGTAGACTGGGAGAATGGTTACTTTGGCATTAGGGCCTTCAAGGGCTGGCAGTCTTAGAGGCTGGAGCAGTGAGAATGAGAGGCCAGAGGGATGATAGTGTTGGGCACCCCTTGACCATGTTGGGGCCATGAAGAAGGTTGGAAGGGAGAGGGGGTGATGGCAGCTTACCTGGTGTCCCCTACCCCACCTGTTCTCGGAGAACCAAGTTGCCATACAGAAAGTTCTCCAAGGTCCAGTTCCCTTTCTCCCACCAGTCGGTGAAGGCTTCAGAGAAGACCAGAGTCCTGGACAGAGAGGGTAACAGGAGGAGTCGGGGATAAACATCAGACATCAATCATGTGTCCTAATTTGGGAGTGATTCCGGGGGATGGGGGTGGGAGAGGGTTAGTTGGTAATCTCATGGCCTGATTTTTTTTGTTTCTATTCCTTTTATATCACTGTTCCACTCGAGGGGGAGGGGTGGCAACCGGAAATAAAGTCCTCCGATCTTCCGCCCCACATGCAGTCTTTGTCTTTTTGGGGGGAATGGGGCCCCCTGTCTTCTCCGCACCCGGGGCCCCTAAGCAGCAGTGTCTGGCCACGCCCCCGCAGTGGGAGGTCGGCCTGCGCTGGTGGCCACAGATGGCCTAAGGCTGGCGGGTCTTTGATTGGCCCCGGCTTTGCCCTGGCCACACCCCCCTCTGCGCTGGGATTGGCTTAGTGCTGGGGTTCCCACCCACCCACAGGCCGCAATGGCGTCTCAGCTCCAGAACCGGCTCCGCTCCGCACTGGCCTTGGTCACAGGTTGAGGGGGTTCTCTCCTGGGGCGGTTTGGGGTGTTGGAGTGATGTCAGGGGCTTGCCCTTGGAGTCCGCGGCTGCTGTGACCTCTGACCCCTTATCCACATTTTACTAACTTTCTGCCCTGTGACCTCTGATCTCTGCCGCCTCCTCCCCTTGCCCGGTCCGGCGTGTTCTGTCCTACCTCAGGTGCGGGGAGCGGCATCGGCCGAGCAGTCAGTGTACGCCTGGCCGGAGAGGGGGCCACCGTAGCTGCCTGCGACCTGGACGGGGCAGCGGCACAGGAGACGGTGCAGCTGCTGGGCGGGCCAGGGAACAAGGAGGGGCCGCCCCGAGGGAACCACGCTGCCTTCCAGGCTGACGTGTCTGAGGCCAGAGCCGCCAGGCGCCTGCTGGAACAAGTGCAGGTGAACGCCAGGCTACCTTACCCCTCTAAAGCTCTAATATTACCTCCACTGCCCCGGCTCTTTGGCGGGGGGGGGGTTTTGATGCGTAACTTCCCCCTCCCATAGGCCTGCTTTTCTCGCCCACCATCTGTCGTTGTGTCCTGTGCGGGCATCACCCAGGATGAGTTTCTGCTGCACATGTCTGAGGATGACTGGGACAAAGTCATAGCTGTCAACCTCAAGGTGGCGATCTCTGAACCTGCTACTTTTGGCCCCCTTAGCCTGGAGAGGGAGTTGAAGGAGGGCTGTCACCCCAGCTGATCTTTTCTCCCTTGTTACCCTTTCCCGCCAGGGTACCTTCCTAGTCACTCAGGCTGCAGCACAAGCCCTGGTGTCCAGTGGTTGTCGTGGTTCCATCATCAACATTAGTAGCATCACAGGAAAGGTCAGGTTGAGTTGGACGAGGTCAGCCAGCCAAGTGGCATAGAGAGGAGAACTCCTCCTTGAGACTCCTGACTCATTCCACATCTCTGACTCACCTATAGGTGGGGAACATGGGGCAGACAAACTATGTAGCATCCAAGGCTGGAGTGATTGGGCTGACCCAGACTGCAGCCCGGGAGCTTGGACGGTTGGTCAGATGCTTGAGGGTGCTGGGGAGCACCTGGGGGGTCTGAAGGAGGGACCAGCATTCAGCCTTCTCCAGAATCAGCAGCCACTCTCCTTCCCACAGACATGGGATCCGCTGTAACTCTGTCCTCCCAGGGTTCATTGCAACACCCATGACACAGAAAGTGCCACAGAAAGTGGTGGACAAGGTAGGAGGCTGTGGGTGGAGGGCATAAGCATTCAGAGACTCAATCTCTCTGGGCTTCACAGAGAGAGAATACTGGGCACAGTTCCTGGCAAACATTAAATATTCAATGAATGTATGAGGAATGAAAACAAAAAAGGGTCACAGACTCAGTCTTCAAAAAAATCCATAAAAGCAGCTTTCACCCACATGAGTATTTCCTTACAGATTACTGAAATGATCCCGATGGGATACTTGGGGGACCCTGAGGGTGAGCACTGAATGGAGAGGAGTCCCTGGGAAGGGGGCCTGAATGAAGAGATCCCCAAGGTTTTGGGATTTTCTACGGGACTGGTGGTTGGTGTCTGTGGAGAGGTTTGTGGGGAGGGATGTCTTTGGTGGGAGATTATAGCTATTTTGGGTCTATAGGAGTGAGCAGGATTCTGCCCTCTCCCCACCATTCTCGTAGATGTGGCAGATGTGGTCGCATTCTTGGCATCTGAAGACAGTGGATACATCACAGGGGCCTCAGTGGAAGTCACTGGTATGAGGCCAGCATGGGGAGGGACAGGGCAGAGAAGTAGAACCCAGACTATATGAGAAAGCAAGTAAGGGGAGTCTGGAGCCACTGGGAAGGGCAGAGGTCCCAAGGCCAGGGACAAAAGTGGGCACCCCCTAGCCCATTTGTCTCTCCACCCATGCATCTGTCCAAATGTTTCTGCCCCTCCCAGGAGGTCTTTTCATGTAACCGCCTCAAGGACCCTGGACTCTGCTCACCCCCCCATCACTCTGCCTGGCCTCCTGCTGATGAGGACTCTAAGTTCCCAGGCTACAAAAGGGGTGGCAGTGTATGGCTCAGGAATGCTGAATATGGGAAGCAGGGGTGCTTGTGACCCTAATAAATTCCAAATCCTCTTCCCTGCCACCTCCGGTTCTTCTTGTGTCCAAGCCCTCAGACCCTTCCCCACCTCCCCCTCCTTTCCCTTTCCCGAAGGATTGTTCCCTTTCACTGCCTGGTCTCCCAGGGCAACCCCCGCCGCCGGGTGTGAGAGGAAAGAGTGTGTGTCACTGTGTATGCGTGACACTCCGGGTCTTTTTGGAGGGAGGGGTTTCTGCATCACCCCTTTCCACTGGTTCTGCAGCACCAGTCCCCTCCCCCCAACTCCCTGGGTTCTTATGGTCCCCAAGGTTGATTTGTTCATGGCCTCATCTTGGTGTCCAGTCTGGCCTTGAAAGGGGGTCTTGGAACAGGTGGCCCTCCCCCACCCCTCTCCTTTCTCTGAGTCCCCCCCTCCCCTTTCTCTCCACCTTACAATAGCTGCAGCCGGCCTGGGGTCGGATGGGGGGGATTAGGGGAGGGGGCCAGGATTAGGGGAATGAACCAGCCGATGAAAGGGGCTGGAGAGAGCAGGAGGGAGGGGGCTGGAAAGAGGAGGAGGAAGGGGAGGGGGGTCTGCGCTAATCGACTCTGGCGCCCACATAAGGACTGGCCACGGACTGAAGGAGAGGACAGGGAAGTAGGGGGGAACTGGGGTGGGGGGCGAGGGCACCCACTGCTGCCTTGTCCCAGAGACAGGCCACCCCCTGGCAGCCGCAGCCCAAGTCCGGGAGCCTCAGCTCGGGCGGGGACAAGACGTCCATCAGGGTCTCTAACTGCCCCCTACCCCCTCGCTCCGTATCCCTCTCATTCCCTACACTCAATGGGGATCGCTCTGCCCCTTCCTCTTCTCTTTCCTCCCTATCCCCTTCGTTTACTTTAGAGTCCTGGAAGAGGCTTCTGCCCACTTCCCACTCCAGACATTCTGACCCTGTGTACCCCACCCACACGCGCACCCCCACTCCCCAATGGGAGCCCCATCTTGTGTGTGTCCCTGTTTCCGCGTGGTGTCTCCATTCCTCCCGTTCCTCCCGTGCGCCTCCCTCCCTTCCCCGCCCCGGGCCGCGGCTCCTGATTGTCCAAACGCAATTCTCGAGTCTATGGCTCTGGCCGAGAGTTGAGTCTGGACGTCCCGAGCCGCCGCCCCCAAACCTCGAGGGGGAGAGCGGGTCGGAGGGTCTAGGGAGAACCAAAGTGGAGGGTGGAGGGAGTCCCCAGGGTGGTAAGGGGAATCCCGAGCACATCGGGACCTAGGTGCGTTCTCTGGACTAGAGGGCAAAAGCGGCAGAGGATCTTTTGCAGCCTTTTTCCACGGAATCCTGGAATGGGGGTTACGGAGAAGTAAGGGGGGTTGATCCCCAGAGTCGCCAGGGTACGCAGAGTGGGGGAGGTAGCCCTTTTCACGAACCCTCTGTCCCCTCCTGGGGTCCCAGATATTCCAGGCCCCGCCCCCTGGAGCTGAGGCCCTGGGTGGGGGCCTCTGGAAGGGAACCGAGGCTAAGGTTGTTGGCCGCGCGACGGTGCTGGGCCGGGGGCGGAGACCGTGGTTCCTTAAGTGGCGCAGAACTCCCGGGACGCAGGATCCTCACGTGGGACGAGCTCGTCCCGTGGGCGGGAGAACCTCGCGGTCCACGTCCCATCCCACCCGCGCCGCGAATGGCGGGTGACGTCTCCGCCGGCGGGGGGGCAGGTGTAGCGGAGGAGCAGGCGGAAGTGACGTAGGGCCCCAGCGCCCGGGCCATGGCGGCGGCGGTGGCGGGAGCTGCTGTCTGAGCAGCAGTTGCGGACCCAGCGAACTTGGCGCAGGAGCCCGGGCCTAGAGAGAGGCGCGGCGGCGGCGGCGGGAGCGCGAACGGCTGGAGCTGGGTGAGGGGCAGTGCCGGCGCGGGGGCGGGAGCGGGGGCGGAGAGGGGCGCTTCTGGAGGGGCGGGGTCTGCGCGAGGGGCGGCCCCCCTAACGCCCTCCTCCCCTTTCCCCCACCCCCAGCCTTCCTCGCCTCCTCCTCGGCTGTAGAGCCCTGGTGGGGGGGGGTCTGTGCCCGGTCACCATGACGACGCCGGCGAATGCCCAGAATGCCAGCAAAACGTGGGAACTGAGTCTGTATGAGCTGCACCGGACCCCGCAGGTGACAGGCATTCTCCCTTTCAGGCTTACCCCCTCCCGCAAACCCCTCCATCCACAGACCCCATCACACAGCTTCTTTTCCATAATTTGCTCTATTCTGCCCTGCCTGGCCCTATCTTTGAATCACCTTAATCTTTCCAAAGCACTTCGCATTTACCTCATTTAATCCTCAAAACAGTCCTGCCAGAGAGGTGGAGCAAGTATTATTGTCTTCATTTGAAAGATCGCAAACACAAAAATTACCTTCCCTGTTCCTCATTCAGTATTATAAGTCAGTGCATATAAGACTCACCTTGCGAGTTTATTAAAAGCAGAGCTTCATGCTCCCCAACATTCTGATTCAGTAGTGGATTGGGTTCTCAGAATCTGAATTTTTAACAGGCACCCTATGGGGTTCTAATACAGGTAGCACCAGGACTTTAAAAATTTTTGTCGAATAGTTTTTCTCAGCCACAGATTTGTGCCATCTTCACTCCTAGGCCACTTAGTTACCTCAGATCCTCCTATTCCAAAGCTCCTACTCTTAGTTAATGGACACTAAAGTCTGTCTTTTCTCCATTTGCTCCAAGTCATCAGTCCTTCTCTTTCTCAGAATTCTTGTCTCGAATAGAGACCAGCATGGGTCCCCAGATTCTGCCTTCTCACTGTATTTTTCAAAACTCTTATTTTATGGGCTGCTGTTTCTAAAACCCCTTTCCCTCTAACCCACACCACCTTTCTACTCACTGATGCCTCCAGGAAGCCATAATGGATGGCACAGAGATTGCTGTTTCCCCTCGGTCACTGCATTCAGAACTCATGTGCCCTATCTGCCTGGACATGCTGAAGAATACGATGACCACCAAGGAGTGCCTCCACAGATTCTGCTCTGACTGCATTGTCACAGCCCTACGGAGCGGGTAATAGGAGAGACATGTTTGAGATGAGATGAAGGGGTACAAAGTTAGGGCCCTCTCACTGGTCTTGGTTCAGCTTAGGCTTCAGTTCCCTTGACTGACCACTCAGGGCTTCCCTTCTTCTACCCCAGGAACAAGGAGTGTCCTACCTGCCGAAAGAAGCTGGTATCCAAGCGATCCCTACGGCCAGACCCCAACTTTGATGCCCTGATCTCTAAGATCTATCCTAGCCGGGAGGAATATGAGGCCCATCAAGATCGAGTGCTTATCCGCCTGAGCCGCCTGCACAACCAGCAGGCATTGAGCTCCAGCATTGAGGAGGGGCTACGAATGCAGGCCATGCACAGGTGTGAGGGTCAGGAGAGAAGCAGGAGTGGTGGGATGGGTCCGTGGATCAGTCTTTGTTGCCTGCTAGCTTCTAAGCCTCAGCATCCTAAGAGCTGACCACAGACTGATCATTAGGGCTGGAAATCATGGGTATAAATTGCAGTTTCTTAGTAAACAACTGGCACTGCTATTCTTAAGAAAAATATAGGGCTGGGCACAGTGACTCACATCTGTAATCCCAGCACTTTGGGAGGTGAGGATGGGAGGATCACTTGAGCCCAGGAGTTTGAGACCACCTTGAATAACATAGGGAAACCTCATCTCTACAACAAATTAAACATTTAGGTGGGCATGGTGGCACATGCCTGTAGTCCTACCTACTTGGGAGGCTGAAGTAAGGGGATCCCTTGAGCCTAGGAAGGAAGTGGAGGCTGCAGTGAACCATGATCATACCACTGCACTCCAGCCTGGGCGAAAGAAAAAGGCCCAGTCTCAAAAAAAAAAAAAAAAAAAAGAAGGAAAAATACAGTTTACCTCTTGACTTTCTAGAAGTTAGAACAGTAGAGCGATTTTGAGAATAAGCTCTGGATTTATACTGCTGGAAGTTAAATCACCTCCTAGGCCAGCATCTCTCAGTCTTTCATGTGTATCCAAATTACCTGTAGATCTTCTTCAGATGCAAACTCTGATTCAGTATGTCTACAGTTGGGCCCGAGAGTCTGCATTTCACAAGCTCCCAGGGGATGTCTGTGCTGCTACCACATTTTGAGAGGTGTCAGCCTATGATTGCTAACAAGTTACTTAACCTCTCTAAGCCTCAGTTTCCTCAGCCATAAAATAGAGATAATATAATTACCTGTGTCATAGGATTCATTGTATTAGGTGAGGGGATTGGTGCAAAACACTTAGCAGAGTGCTTAGCACACAGTGTTTAATAAATGTTAGGTATCATCATGAGGATTTTTCTTATCTCTTAATTCTCTGAAGTTTAAAGTCTAAGCCCTTTATCCTGGATGCTTTCTAACCTTAATCACTTGCTTCTACAGGGCCCAGCGTGTGAGGCGGCCGATACCCGGGTCAGATCAGACCACAACGATGAGTGGGGGGGAAGGAGAGCCTGGGGAGGGAGAAGGGGATGGAGAAGATGTGAGCTCAGACTCCGCCCCTGACTCTGCCCCAGGCCCTGCTCCCAAGCGACCCCGTGGAGGGGGTGCAGGGGGGAGCAGTGTAGGGACAGGGGGAGGCGGCACTGGTGGGGTGGGTGGGGGTGCCGGTTCGGAAGACTCTGGTGACCGGGGAGGGACTCTGGGAGGGGGAACGCTGGGCCCCCCAAGCCCTCCTGGGGCCCCCAGCCCCCCAGAGCCAGGTGGAGAAATTGAGCTCGTGTTCCGGCCCCACCCCCTGCTCGTGGAGAAGGGAGAATACTGCCAGACTAGGTGAGGAGCCCTGTCCTTCCCCCAGCCACTGAGAAACCAAAGATCACAGATTTCCATCAGAAGTGGGCTTTGCCCAAACCCAAAATAC